CACCAAGAACTGTACTGTACACACATCCGTATGAAAGCAGGTCAAGCTGCGACTACGTGGGGGTGCAAAGTTGGCGGGGTGATATTTTATCCGTGTGGAATCCGAGTCCCACAGGTGAGCGGATATCCCAGGCCCTATCAAAGACGTAGGAATGCTCCATAATCCGAAGCGAATTTCTTTGGGTATGGTGAGATAAATCAATTGCGTAGGCAGGTGGAAAATTGGGACCGGAAGGAACCCCCATGGGCATCTTCGAATCCGATCATTTCAGATACGCAACGATGCCCATGAAATCCCTGCTCGCAATGAAGGAGAACGGGCTTAAAATTCATATTCCTTTACGGTGAATTTGACTTTGTATGGCTTCATAAATTTTCGAATTCACTTCGCTCTTTGTTCACATTTGATTCAATGACGTTATGGAACGATTCCCGCCGTGGTATTGCGCCAACCCAAAGAATTGCATTGCTTGGAAGAAAAATACAAGCATGGGGATGGGGCATCCAAGTTGGCCTAGGAGTCGGAAACGCGAGGGAGCTAAGAGCAACCAGGAAGAGCGGCTCGTTGCTCAAGCCTCTCGGAACACGCGCGAACCACAGTCGTTCCTTTCTTCTTCCTGTCTCTATTGGGAACCATTTCCTCTCGATCGTATATGGCCAAACAGGGCCATATGTTACACACTTGGAAACAATGCGCCTTTTCCCCCATACATAACCAACCCCATGCTGGGGCTTCGACCTCATGAACATCCCTCTCCCCATCCACTCAGAAATCACTGCTTGCGTTGATCAGATCTTATCTTTGTGTTGTTTTTCACTACACAGCGCAAGAATGACGAAAATATATGACCGCATAATAATGACTTCGGCTGGCTAAGATAAGGGCTAGCACGTGCAACTGGGAAGTCATGCCTGGGCCCGACATCACAACAAATGAACTGTATCCTAGGGGCATGGATAATATTCATCATGAAGCATAGGAATAGACTCGCTCCTAATGTCATGCTTATGCTACAGGTTGACACACTTTTGCGCGTATTATATACATTAGAAAGTATGAGTTCAGCCCATCTGGCCTAAGTCTGCCGACATGAAAAAATAAGGCTAGGCGAAGTTTCGCTATGAAAGTACTTGTGTCCGATTTGCCAGGCCGTAACAAAACTTTGAGCAGGTCACTGCGGAGTTGAAAGATGCGTCCCACGTTACTAATCCAATATTCAACGCCGACGACTAGGCCTAGCATAGGCCTAAGCCATGCCCATCACGAAATGACATGTCCGGTTAGGCCAAGCGTGTAAGCCTGCTGTAGTTCCACAGGAAGTTCTAGGATGACGCACTGCAGATCGTGAATCAGCTGGGCTGCACTGACCACTTTCACGGAAAGAGTTCCGAAGAGACCTGCTTTTTAGGTTTAGAAGAGGGAGAGAAAAACAGGTCCAGGAAGGAGAGGAGACTGGAAGGCAAACAGAAGAGAAACGCAGCTCGACTCCACGCCACACTGCCCCGAGGACAGAACAGCAAAGCCTGGCCCCGACAGGCACCAAATAACACAGGGCCACCATTATCTCGCTCTCACGATTCACCCATAGAAGAATGCACGGGCAGGCAATAGTCGGGATTCAATAGCTTCTACGAGAGCAGTGCAGTGACCGCCGATCCATTGGAACATATGCGCCCACCTCTAGTCTAGCCCAGCCAGAAGCGCCGCCTACTCCATATCGTTAGTATATCCTTCTTCCTAGTGGGAGCAGCACCGTCCACCCAAACACGTTGCGCTGTCGCAGCATGCATTCGCACTGGTTGTCACCCCCTTCATTCCAGTAGGACTGGACACCAATACGTGACTTCCTGGTTTCTTTTCATATTGATTTTCTACAGAACATCCGCCAAGTTATGCCCTGAGGGTTCTGCACGATCACGACCTCAAGGAATAATTTGATGAAAGGGAAAGGATAGATTACATTGAAACGGGAATTCTCGACGCAAAAGCTTGCATTGGTGGGATGGAGCCCCTTCGCCATCAGAGGATCGAATTCTCCAGGATGAAGCAATACAGCATTGCCACAGCGAGGAACGAGAACAAAAGAATCCTGCAGACTAGCGGAATCAGACGGATCCAGTGAACGGGGTACGCCTTGACTAAAACGGGACTCCTGTCACGGCCCAGTACGTGCTGATTAGCGCTGCGCTCCCTTCAAGCAGAGCACACCGTACCAGGCGTTTCCAGAATGCTGTTTGTTTCAGCAATTGAAGCAGACTTCTATTTTTTAAATTTGTCTCTGACAAATTTTACATAAAGGGAATGGCGAGAAAAACGACCAACTTTGAGTCGCTGAATCTCAAAACAGCTTGAATTTCTCTCTGCAAATTTGATGAGAATGTACACTGCCTTTTTTTTAATAGTTTGTCAACAATATGTTCAATCACATCTGATCAATATTCTGCGCAATGTTTGAAAGTAAAAACTCCCTTCAAGGAAGGTCCGAAACGGCACTGCACCGAGAATCTCAAAGCTTGGTGGAATTGTTGCAGTTCTCGATCGCTTTCGTGTCGCGTTTTTTTTTTATAGCTTTGCAAGACTGAAAGTCCTGCGCAACCGACTTTAATTAATTAACATCAATAATATTTCGTTCAATCATTCGAGCTATCATTCTCTCAGTCTGTTCGTTTTAAATGCCAGATTTGCCCACGGATTATCGGTCGTTTAGCTTCCATTTCAATTAACTAGTTTTAGAGGATGGGTGTCTTTTTGACCCAATTTTTCATGGAAAATTAGCACAGGCCGACGAAGTCAAACCGAGATGTCCAGCACATGCGAATTTTGAATAAGACTTAGGGTTTTATCCAGAACTAAACTTCCAATTTGACTCATTTTTGGCGACAATATAAAAGACAAAGGTTGCTCTCTCCTCGGCGAATTTCGGCTAGATTGAAAATCGCGCCCAAGTGTAGTGTAATTCTTTGCATATGCAGGGTGGGGCATGAGTTATGGGGGGGGCATAACCCCCTAGTAGGGGTACCATATTTCCGACAGCCGAAAAGAAGGACGCCCAGCAGTCGGACGGAAATTTGAGGGCGGAAAAGGAGGACATCTCCAGGGAAAGCACCTCCTTTGGGCACTTCCCTACTCAATGTGGGGTTCGTGTCATATAAAAATGTAATTCAGCGATAAACATTTTAATAATGTATGATGTCACGCTATGAGGCTTCTGTCTCTCGGGTCAAGTAAGTTCAGCCCCAGCCCCATCCTCTATATTTTTCCCATTCAGAGTGCTCAATTTACGGTTTGAATTTGTTACCTTCTCATTTTTTACTAGTATGGAAAAAATCGAAACAAGCCCAAGTTGGACCTGAAATGCCTAATGGTGTCCCTCCGAAGGCGATTTCGCTTTCTCGAGAGCTTCATCGACGTTGGTTAATTGGGATTGACGCATCGGGCTGATGCTTGGCATCCCAATTAACTGTCGCCGATTACACAGAAAAAAAGCAGAATAGCCTTAGAAGGTGTCGTTTGGTTGCTCTGCTGTGATATCAGAATCAGAGATAAAGCTATAACCAACCCTTGTGTGTTCTAAGGTTTAGATTTTCCTATGATTTAGTGTGATCTGGGATCCCATTAGGGCAGTCAAGGATTCCGGAACACCCGCGGGTAATCTGGGATAACTATTTTATGTTTAAAATTCTTCGCAGCACTCCAGTGGGATCTCAGATCGCATCGATGAACGGAAAAACCCGATTCCGCTTCCCACTAAACGACGCGTTCCGTTCAAGGTGGTTCAGTTGTTCGTGGACCTTGTGACGAACAAGTGATAAGAGAATGTTGGGCCTGGTTTCGTGCCGAGTGGAAATGCCGCTTCTCCAAGGAATCAAAATGAACGTGGAAAATTGAAACGCGTTGCTGCTCATGGAAAAGGTCAACTTTGCGGAGTGGATATGAAGCAAAAGTTAAAACTCAAGTGATTTGCCAGTAAAAGTGTACGAAGTTTGCTGGATGGTTTTTGCCATATAAAGTTTGCAATTTGTCATCTGGTGTTTCCATAAATTCACTTCCCACTACCGATTGATTTGATTCACCATTGCTTACGACAAAGCGGGAACTTATTCTTTCAAACCAAAGATGCCAGCGCGATCCGAGATCCCACTAGTGGCATTACGAATTTTGTATTAAAAAAAAGTATTGATTTCAGATTACACGAGGATGTCCTGGAATATTTTATTATCTTAGTGGGATTCCAGATCACACCAAATCCCTTAAAACCCTATTATATATACACTCATCCTTTTCAAACTCGTAAACTATATTCCCACCTAACCTGAGATTTGGTTAAATCGTCCTGAGATGCAGCATTGGTCTCATTTGCCTTGCCCTGCATGACCTAGATCAGAGGTCTCAAACTCGTGGCCCGCGGGCCACTTGCGGCCCACAAATGCTCTCAATGCGGCCCGCGACCCACTTGCGTACACCAAGAGAGAAACGTTTCAGGCTCAATATACACAACCAAGGAAAACCTTCAGATTTCTTTTCACTTAGGCCCGCAGAGGTCCGATCTTGACGAGGCGGCACACACTGAAACGAGTTTGAGACCCCTGATCTAGATCTAGCTATATCATTCCTTAAATTCATGTACCAAACTAATACTGAAGATTCCTTTTGGCTCAAGGTGTCCTGGTTATTCATCTCTAATGGAATCACCTCAAGGGTCAACCTCTGTTTCTGAGTCCATTTCTAAAGGAATCTTTAAAATGAATGAAGTAGCCTTGAGAAAATAATTTCCACTGATAGGGTAGTGTTCCCCAGCCAACTTCTGATAGGATGCAATATTTTCAATATTTTCTCTGGCACTTCCACTGATTTTATTTCATTACATTACATGTATCACAGCCCTGGAATCAAAATAATGGGCACCAGGAATTTCTCAATGAGTAATGTTAACAGATATTGACTGCTTTTTTCAGAAGTTATAGGATCTCCATTCCAGTAAAAGGTCAAGAACTCTGGCATCAGGACATCAACAAGCAATTTATTTACATTCTCACATCCATACAGTAAGATTACATGGATGCACAAATATAAAAAAAAAGATTGAGATAGATGGGTAGCAATACCTGCTCAAACACTTGGAAGTGGAAAAGAAAAAAAAAGAAGTAAATTTTCCCAGTTTTTACACGTCAATCATGCACTACAATGTTCACCATCAGTGATGCCCACATCCACTCCAGATTTTCACTGTCAGGTGAACCTGCAAGATGATTAAAATTCAGTGACAAGAAAATATAATGCCAAATACAGGAGGTATCTACCCAGAGGAAAATGCTAGTACCAATTCATCCATCAGCCTCACTCCTGAAGATTCCCTTGGCATTCTACTCCATGAACTTATGGAGAGCGCCTGCAAGATAGGGTCCAATCAGCAGATTCATGTGGGTTGACATATTTCACATTTTTTATAAAAAAAAAAACAAGGCACATGAGAATGAATGAAAACTGACCTCCTTGCAAATGGGGAAGGGCTCCTAGATAAGGGCCTAGGTGAAAGAGAGGACCTATTCAGCACGAAACTCAGCATATTAAAAACCAAATCAGGCACGTGTAATGGGCAGAGCAGTACAAAGACTGACTGCAAAATAGAACAAATATGGATGAACATACCTCCTGCGTGCTGGAGATGGAGATCGAGACAATGAACGAGACCTCCTACGTGGGGAACGTGACCTGAAAGCCCAATGATATGTCCAAACATAAGCAACTGAAAACATCATGTGTATAGGCCTATTATTTTCTGAAATCAGCCAACAATTTACATCTTCAAAATTTACATAGATGTATAGCAGCAGATTTGACAACTACAGCTTTTGGCAACTAATTTAAAAGGGAATAGTGCATTTCATCTTGATACAAGAGAATTGGAAGTTTGGTACCATTCAACAGCCAGAGAAACAGAAGCAAGTAATGTAGATATTCTTGAAATCAAGAGCGGGTGAGAAGAGAACACAGCACACTGTGAATTTGGACTAAGGTCATTGTGAGACAACCACCTGAACAAAGATGAACCAAGTTGGTTGAAAGTTGAAAGGCGGGTGCCAGATGGGAGAGGGTGGTTGCGCGTATGTCGCTTTCCCGCATTTGTGGCTTTTATATGAACGGGTCAAGGGTCAGAGGAGAGCACACTGCCTGCCCGTGCATGGATGAGGAAGGGAGAAATAAGAAGGGGTGCCGCTCAGGGGAGGTGTTGCGAGATGGAAAAATGAGATGCCTGCCGAACACCGCCCCGAGGTGGTGCACCTGATGGTTGATTGGTCGGTTGGCTGGGTGATTGTTGACCAAAAAGAAGTGATTCGTTGGTTGATTGGTTGGTTGGCTGATAAAGTGTGGGTTGTCAGGGAGAAGAAGAAGGAGTTGTAAAGTGGAACAACGGATGACATGGCCTGTTCAAAAGGAGCACACCATTGTATTATTCCTCTTCTCCCTCATATAGGCTAACAACCTTCTTCACGCCCACTCTTTACATCAACATAAAACCTGTCCCACCCCTTCCACACACTCTTGTTTTTATTATTGCATTGAATATAAAGCAAAAAAAAAGGTCTCCCTGTGCTCATTTCTTGTCATACAGGAACACAATGACTGTGTTCCTAAATGAGAAGGGAATCTAACCTGGATCGAAATCGCCTATCTCTTGGAGGCAGCGGAGGTGGACTACGACGACGTGGAGCCCCACCAGATCCTCTCTTACGTCCATGTGACATTTCAACTCTAATCCTGGCTCCACACATTCTCCTGGAAACAATTTATCAACCAATACAAATATTACACACCAAGCACTGATCAATAATGAATTCCCAAAAGAGCAGTCGCTTACGTTCCATCTAGAGCTCGCACAGCATCCTCTGCATCTCGTGGGTCTTCATATTCCACAAAAGCAAAGCCAGGAGGATTTCGAGCAACCCAGACATTCTTGATTGGGCCATACTTGCTGAAATTATTTTCTATTTCATATTCAGAAGCATTGTTGCCAAGGTTGCCAATGTAGACTTTACAAGATAGATCCCATTCTCTGTGGCGAGCCATTTCTCACAATGAAGCTTTATTTGGAGGAGGTTTGGAGTCAGGCCCACTATCTCAAATAGAATACCTGCAACTGGATGATTCCCTCATTTATAAAAATCCGCTAAAGATCATCAATAACTCATTCAATGAATTTTAGGGATAGGGAAGTGTTCCTCATGGTTACCTTATCTTGAGGCCACAGACAATTATTAGATCAAATGATTCAATGGCTTCAAATATTATTTACAGGATGAAGGGGTAAGACACCCTTGAACTTGCCACCCTGTGTGGCAGTCCTCCTAAGATCCTGGGAATGCCAGTTGACTGGCACATACAGAAGCCAGAACAACACAATAAGATTTACTTTACAATATAGTAGCATCAGAAGTCTGACCAGACCTTATTCACAAAATTAGGAAGGAAATTTTTTTTTAATGCATTTCTTAGATAGAAGAATCAACGTAAAAATAAATTGCATACATAAATGCAATAATACAGATATTGAGAAAACAATGCTATGATGAGATGTCTTGTATAAAAAAATGAATAACACCAATAAGTTACTGTAATTTGAAGATCTTGTCCTTGTTCCTCATGAGCGAGACCGACTGGAAAAAGAAAAAAGACAATAGTTCAGATGCATGCGAAATGAAATGACCAAAATTTCTGAAGCATGAAAAAAAAACTTCTAAGGAAGGAAAGGAGTCACTCACCTCCTTGTTAGAGGGGATGGCGATCGAGACCTGTTGCCATAAGAAGGAGATCTTCTCCCATAAGATGGAGATCGTCTTGGGCTGCGGCTCCTTGAATGAGGAGACCTACAGAGAACAGAATACAAATAAAGATTTCAGGATATATGCAAAGGTCAGCATTAATAGTTGTTCCTGAATAAATTCACAAAGGTAGAAGGTAGAACCCTCTCTCCCACTTCTAAATACCATCTGCTTCTGAATGACTAACCATTACCAATGATATATTTATAACCCATTGCATAACACCATGAACCAGATTTCAGTTTTTCAAATCAGAGAAAACTTTACCCTTTGACATCACAAAACCACGTAGAAGAGTACTCCTGGACTGGAGGAGAAGACCGTGGAGCAGTCGTTGCTGCAAGTGTGAGGCTTGCATTAGCAATGCTGTGTCGACAGCTTGGTGTATAGGATGGGTGTGACTAGCTAGGCTAGCAGAGGGTTGAGGAATGGACGAGAGGAGATACTGATTGCGAGAAGGCAAGGTTCGCGAGCGAAGAGACGGGTGAAGAAACTGATGACTGAAGCAAACAGTCTAGGTACAAGGCAATACATTCCATCAGTTTCTTGTTTAATGCAATGACTGTCAAACATTATGCAAAAAACTTTCACAGAATACATACTAGACCAGTCAAATATGATAATATAATTATACTTCAGTGAGGCAGAAAATTAAAATTTACTTTCTCTTCATTCAAGATTGATTTTGACATCTTGGTCAAACAAGAAGTGACTAATACACTATAATACACTGTGCATCTCACGAAACATGATTCAGAGGAATGACTTACCGAGACCACCTTCTAGGGCCACCTCGAAAGTTGTCTCTGTCTCTGCAACCGGAATTCTCTGAATCCCTTCTGCGTCCATGAGAAATCTCAACACGAATTCTGCTCCCTCTCAAGCGCCTGATAATTACATCCCATAAAGATAAGATGGTGTGATGAAAAGGAGAAATATGCCTTAAGTTAGGTGACTATAGCAGTTGCCTAAATTTTAAATAATTATCTCTTGCATAAAAAAGTCATCAAGCATCACTCACGTGCCATCCAATGCTCTCACAGCATCCTCTGCATCTCTTGGATCTTCATATTGCACAAAAGCAAATCCTGGTGGGCTGCGGGCCACCCACACGTTCTTCATGGGACCGAACTTTCGAAACACATCTTCTAGATCATATTTGGATGTTCCTCTGGCCAGATTTCCAATGTAAACTTTGCAACTAAGATCCCACTCTCTAGAGTTGGACATTCTTGCAAATAGATTTTGGCCAAAAGTAAGGCTCCCAGACCACAATTGCAAACCTATATGAAAATTTTTGGATAGAAAATAAAAAGCAACAAAGGCCTAGGCTCACGGGTACAACTATATGTTTTGAAGCAGGGGTGAGGGTATTGTTGGAACTAGCAATGCATTTTGATGGCTTAATCAATTGCATGGAACAGGTTAGAAATGACATATATAATATACTGTATCACTCAATTAACTATTGTCTTCAACCTTACTTCAGTTAGCAGGTCATCATTCAACTCAGCAATACAGTTGGGCAAAAGCAACAAAAACTGTATTGATGAGTCCAAGTGATACGTGACCATTGAGGCAATTATACATAGGAACTTTTGATGAGTTTTTAGTTGATCAGTTTGCAAATGGAACTGAATATAGAAGACTAGTTCATCATAGCCTTTATCTCAGTAAAACAAGCTGGATGACTTGCAATAATAAGCATAGGAATACCATCCCATTGTCTATGATGAGGTCAGCAAATGAATGTGATTACATGGCAACTCACAGTTCCTGAACTCAGAAATGACAAGATGCAACATGGCAGCCCACAATTAGTTAGGCTTACATCCCATAAAAAATGGGGCCAAACTACATATCCTGAAAAGCTGCCCCCTAAGATAAACATGACAAGATGAGCACAGGCCTAGACCTACCACAACTAATGTCCAGTCTTGGTGCCATATGTTTCTAGAATCCCCAGGGGCAAAAAGATTCACTCTTATGTCCAAAGCATGTCAGCTTGATAAATTCACTGGGATGGATGGTAAACAGCACGAGTCCAAAAACAATGACATCAAAAAGATGGGTGCACAAAGTGAATGATAGTCACTCTACCCTAGGCCTAAATTACTAAAATCATGGCAAATTTTGGCTAGGGTAAATTATCACTGGCTACACTTTCTTCAGTTTTAAACTTTCTTTCAGTTAAAAAGGAAAATTTACTTGTTGGTCATGGTGACATGCTAGTATGGTTGACAAGGAGTCACAGTTAAGGGTGAAAAATGAAAATTTTCAGGTGGATTAGAATATGAAGATGCAGCAGTTAGTTTCAGGTTAATGAAAGCCAGAGATTTGTCATTTAAGAACACAGAAAGTACGGAGTGTTGTACAAGACTATGGCACCACAACTGGTTCCTTCAATCAGTATGGCTGCCATTAGAACAGGAGTCACCAAAGTTCCTAAATACCAAATTTCAAACAATTGTCCTACACTGTTCTTGGATTGAATTTGTACCCCCCTATAGATGTGCTTCCATCCAAAGCAAGTAGTGACATTTTACACATGTGTAGTTATGTCTATGACCTGATGAAGTGGAGCCTCTGCAAATTTGTGCTTTCTCCATTCTCCACTGAAGGGGTTTGGTACTAATTCAATCCAAAACCAGTGGAGGACCATTGTTTGGAACTTGGCATTTAGGGACTTTGGTGACTTCAGCAACTAAAATAAGCAACTCTTATTTACAAGAGGTAAATAAGAGATGAGGAAGGGGTGCTTTTGTATTTCATTTTACTCTTCCCTTATTGGAGTTCACTAGTGATCATTTACCTCAAATTTGATACTAACATGAGACACATAAGTCACTCATCTTCACCTATATCCAATGCTAGCCCAACTTCAATTCATAATGCTCACTTAGAGATGAGCAAGGTGAGGTGGATTCAGGGTTATGTCCAATGAGGTTAGCATAACTTGCACGGAAAAACAACATGCTGTAGAAATAATCTACCAGAACATTTATGTGCAGCACATGAGGGATACATTGGTGAAAGCCAAACCAAAGTTGGGTGGCTTCACTGACTCAAAAATCCCTGTGAAGAAGGAAACTACCCAACCATCCCCAATTGTGACATGCACTTCATTAATGCAAACAATTCATGTGCCTTGACTGGGATACACCGGTACAAAAATACATAAAGCATCATAGTAGGGCCTGTCAAGGAGTATCAGCATATCAATGCTTCGTTCCATTGCTGAAGTGTTATAACTACCGTTCCCCCAGCTTTTGCTACGATCCAGCAGGATAGACACAACCTTGGGGGTCGTCCGATAAAACGTCGGTAACAGTCACTAACTTAAGAACCAAGGCAAAAAGAAGCCATCATGGCGGCCGGAGCCAAACCCCAAGACGAGACGGGGAGAGGACGCGGGAAAGCGACCTCTATCTTCTCCCCTTCAAGCCTTTGACGCAGCTTCGGGGAAACGTCGATGAGGACGCCGAGGGTGTTGCTCCCAGATTTGTTGACTTGTTGCTTTTAAATGTCGGGAAAAGATCCGATTTCGATGTTCCGTTCTATGCATACTTTCTTGTCCGCAGAAAAAGAATGAGCCGATTCTTGTCAATCCGGATTTCTCCAAAGAAAGTCTTTTCAATAGTGTTCTCAGGACTTTTCCTTTCTACACCGTGTCCACATGAATGTTTACCAGGTAGGATGATTTTAAAATTCCCTAATTACGAGGCACTATATTATCTTACTGTAATAATCTTAGTGCATATGTCCCTTTCCAGAAAACAAAATATTGACCGGACAAATGTGAAGAAATGGGATGCAAATTTCAACTCGTATCGCTCTGATTGATCCCTCTCGAGGACTAATTTTTAAGTACTGTCCTGAAAGTACTTTCGGTGAAGTATAAAAACAATCCAAGCAAGAAGGAATAACCTCAGATGGGAAGGCATGCATCTTTGAAGTTCCCGAGGCTTAAAATAATTACATAAAGTACTAAAACATTCCAAATCCCTCATTAAACATTTCAACTCATCATTAAAACATCAACAAGATTCCCCTCGGCAAATAATACCAAAAAATTTCGATTGTTATCAACCATCGATTGACTTTTCACTTATTGACGAAGTGTTGCAGCTACTGAGCTAATACTAAATAAAAAAATTAGTCACAGCAAAGTGAGGAACTGATAGCAAATGTATGTTCCTCTCTTGAAGCCAATTGAGACCCAGTGGTTTCCAGAAGCTCGAGGCAAAACTAAACTGGAGGCCCCCTTGAGGCCCCTTGAGGCCCTTCGGAGCCCCCTTGGGACCCCTTGATACGCGAGGCCCTGGGCAGATTGTCCCGGTTTCCCCCCCCCCCCCTTCCCTTCCCCCCGCCCCTCTGGGCGAGCCTGCTTGAAGCGAGTTGGGCTCGGAGTATTGAAAGAAAGTAGTGTGACTGATCCAAGTCGACATTAAACTTTCCGATCGGAGAAATCAGCTAAAGTTTGAAAAGCTGTGTCCTTGGAGAAACGCTGACGCAGACGG